TGGCGAACGGCCACGACATCAATCTTCACACATGAAAACAAGCTGTGGTGGATGGTGTCAGCCTCGCAGCAGTCGCACCTGCCGTCGGTCTCGCACCCGCGTAATCGCGCGCGCTCGCGGGTCCAGCAACCACCGGCAGCAAGCGACGCGGCCAAGAACTTGTCATACGTCGATAGCTTCCCGTGCTTCGCACGGGCAAAAGGCTTCAACGGACCAAACGCCATGCGAGTGCCCTCCGGCTGTCCGCGCCGCTCTGCCAATGCCAAACCCACGTTGACGTTGTAGCCCTTGAGACACCATGATCTCCAGCACACGAGGGGTTAACTGCAACAGCGGTATGTCCGTGCCTCGGTGATCTTGCCACGCGCGCCAATCAACAACTGACCAACCGACGCGTCGGACACATGGTGCAGCGCGCCCGAGATGACCGCGCGATAGCTTCCAAGACGAATCGTCGAGATCTCGTCCTCGCAGCGCCCGGGTCCACCATGACTGCAGAAAATCAGAAAACAAGCGCACCTGCTGGCCGCGCGACTGCAGTCCAAAGCATGCGGGACCACTGCAGGGCAGGAGCTAAAGCCTGCTTGGTAACTGGATCACCTCTAGTACCACTTTCGCACTTGCCCATATCCCACCATGGCAAAGTTTGACAAACTTAAACTATTCTCTGCTAAGAGCCAGCAATTCACCATCATCAAGACCTCTGATCTCTACGCCCTGGACTTGCACCCGTGCGGGAAATCTCTCTAATTCGGGCTTCTCTCTGGACTGGTAGTGCGCGTGAATACTTGCATAACTTCTTGATCCTGGCTTTGAAACGCAACTGTCGACTCCTCTGTTTGGAACGAACCTTAGGTGCAGCACGTATTTGACCACCGGCATGATCAGTCCCCAGATAATGACTTGACTTATGATCGGCTTGCGCTTGCAAGCCAAGTCTCTCAGCGACGATATGGCCGACACGGCTATCAGAACACACAATAGCCAAAGTCGCGCCGGGCCATGAAGCCGCCCTCTGCAAATCCGCCTGTACTTGCCGCCAAGTCAATAAGTTGCTCATTCGTGTCAGCCTCGATGCCAGCGCTGCCGTACACACGTCGCTATGCAACATCGCGCAACGGTCGCACTCCTCCACCGCGCGCGCTTCAATGCCCACGTCCGCGCGCGCATCTCCTGCAGGGGGACCTCTCGCAGCACGCGCGGGCGCGCGGCTGCGGCGCCGCGGCGGTCTCACCAGCCGCGGGGCAGACCACGCATTGAATAAGAGCTGTATAACTGGGAGCGGCGCCCGGAACCTGCAGGACTTCTCGCGCTCCTCGCGCAGCTCTAGCGTCTCGCAGTACTTGCTGCAGTCTGCAATGACCTGCAGGATCTGTTTCTCGTTCTGGACACATGCTTCCACGGGCGCTACCACTTGCCTTGCTGAATCGACTGCCGAGCGACCGCTCGCAGCTCCCCAACGCACCCTGCTTAAAACCCGCCGAAGTGGATCAAGAGCCGGTCGCCCCAGCCGCTGCCGCGCACGGTAGACTGACGCGCACAAAACTATGAGCTCATGCCCCCCCTTGCGGCTCGGTGGGCATCGGCACCACGACCCGCAATATCTGCTTTGGTAACATACCGAAGGATTCAAAAGCTTCAAACAGGATGTTCAACACAGCAAGACTGCAGTCACTCAGCAACAATAAGTGCCGAGGATGAAGCCCATCCAAGCATCCCAATGTCGCGGTCGATAAAGAGCTGGCGACGTCGCGAGTCTCCTACGGCGTCGCTCGTGGGAACGCCGACCTGTCAAGGATCCACGTAACTGGCGCCGCCGCACTTGCCCTCCAAAAACCGGAATATTCAGCAAACACCATAGAGTCCACCATCGCGCGCGAATGCGCAGATGGGATACCGTCATCTAGCTTGACTGCCGCGGGTTGTTGAACATTCTTGAAAACAATGAGCCACCCATAGCGCGGGCTCCACCCGCGCGAACTTGCCGGCGCCTATCTTTCCATCTCGACGCAGAACCCCTGTCGGCCGCGCGCTGAATGCCACGGACATCACCATCGCACTCCCCGGGGAACTCACGCACCTGATCAGGGTGAACATCCCCCAAGAAAGCCCTCCGCGCCTGAACGACATTGCTATCCAATCGCGCAAGCAAGTTGTCCCGGGTAGACCGTCGCCTGGAATATCATCAGTTCATCAGCGAGCTTCTCGCGGCGGGCCCGGGGCCCCGCTTCGCTTTCGCGCGGGACGAGAATGCCACACCATCGAACAACCGCCTCCAACCTTGAGCCTGCGCTGGAAAACCTTCAGCACCCTTGCCTTCTTACAGAACATCCACCCGCTGTAGCTGCAAACAACGAGCAAAGGCACCACCGTCGCTGATGATTGCCACCGTTGCGCGCGCGATGCGCGCCGCCGCTCCAGTGGCAAACTTGCCCCGTGCCAAGGCCAAGACACCCCGCGCCGAATCAGCTTCAGCCTCTATTGCCACCTCGAGAGCAGCCACTGCATGCCTTTCCTGCGGCGAGCAATCATCATCAGGAAAAAGCGGGCCGACGACGGCCTGCGCGGGCAGCTTCGGCACGACAGAAACGATGGACGATAGAACCTGAACCTCGCCTCCAGCCGCGGCCAGCTTCGAAACGACAGGCTGATGAGGTTTAGTGGCTCACTTCGAACCAACTGTAACATCCTGAAGCAACCTCATTGCAGCGGCAGAAAGACCGAACTAATCGACGGTACTACACGATACTGCTGCACGCCACGCTGCCGAGGCGGACGCAACCGAAGAATTCTGGGCCGCTGGCGGCAAGGCGGCATGAGTGACGACACCTGGGTCCACGCCCCAATCTCCGCCAACTATGCTCGGCTCAACCTACCCCGCAAGCGCTTGACCAATGCGAGCCAACATCGGATCATTCCGAGCCGTCTTGCCCTCCGCGCAGTAGAGGTACACATTGGAGGGCCAACCGTGCTCATCAATAATCATATGCAGCGCAGGGCGCGCTGCCACCGCTGGGGCAGGCGCTTTGCAAAGACCGACCTCAGCACGCGCAACTACAGCTACGCCAGCGCCAGGTAGATGACCCTGAGTCGGATTCCCAGGTTCCACAATGCAACTCCAACCTTTCATGGCGGCCTAACTTGATAGTTTTTCAGCATCTGCTGCCGCGTAACCGACCTCCTGGGCTAACGCCACCAGCGCGCAAGTTCTCTCCCGCCTCCGTTTCATAGGTCTGCTTCCCTCGATTGGCATTAAAAGTCTCGAGTAGCCGTATCTGCCGTTGGTCACCATCAGGCGCGCCAGCTCCTCGGGCAGTGTCTCCAACAACAGACGCGCCTCTAACTCGCGGCAGGCGGCTAGGACCTGGAACGCCCATGTCGCCGAAACCCGGCCTCGTGCAGATCATCGACGAGGCCACGCAACAGGTCAACCTTGTCTCCTCCCTCTCGCTGAAGCTTCTTCCGCAAGTCACTGGCCCCCTCTCTCGACAGCTCGGGGGGCGGACGCTTGACATATGAATCTCCAGCAGCATGCCATCCCCAGGGGTTGCAGGTTGCCCGCCATCGCCAGCAGGGCCATCGCCTGCACCATGGCCATCAACATCATCACCACCATTGGAATCACCCATGTGCGCATCCTGCTCCGCCTTGGGCTTCCCGAGCTTCGCGCTGCCATTGCGCTGCAACTGCTTCGCAAACTCTGCCAGCTGAGGATCGGTAGCCACTTCGTTGGCTCCAGCTGCTTGCGCCGGGGAATCCTCGGGCAGCACCGGCGAGGAAGAGGATGCACGATCAGTCCGCGCTTCGCCTCGCTGCTGACGAAGCTGGGCCGCACTTGCCTCGACCTCCTCTTCCAAAACGCCGACCTCCTTCGCCTCGGCCTCAATTGTGGATTTCTGTCCGAGGACATCGTTCTGGAGCTTCTGGAATCTTGCATTGTACTCAGCCAGCCCTTTCTCGACACATTTCTTGTGCGCGGCACTTATCCAGCTTGGCGAGGGCAGCCTGGCGCGCAGACACAAGTGGCCGAAATGCGCGATGCTGCGACCGAAGATCTTCGAGCTGCTGTCGCAGCCCAAGAAGCCCAGGGTCCGACTCGTCAACCTGGATGATCTCCTCAGTGGACTGTTCCAAAACTGGGGTCCGCTTCTGGAGCTTCTCACTTCTCACGCTTCTCATCCTTGTCGTTGTTGTAAGTGTTGTTGCCACCCTTGTCCGCGGACTTGGCGCAATCAGATTCGGACGACTTGATCTTCTTGAGCTCGAACGACATGGCCTCCAGCTGCTGCTGCTGCATGGACTTGTAGTCCGTGCTCCATGGCGCAGGGGTGGCCTTGCCCCTAAGCCCCGCTCGACCCACTGAACGGGACGGGGCACGCTGCTGCTCCAGCGCCTTGGCTGCCTCCTGCGCGCGGTTGATGATGTATGTCGGGGCTGAGGCGCCGCATCTGCAACAGATGCGGCTCGACCAGTTACTTGATGACCCCGAGCATCCCCATGTAGGCTTCTAGGGCCTGGCAGGATGGGGCCCTCCTGAACCATGGTGCCGACAAGCCTCGCGCCTGATGGCCACCTGTACAGTAGAGCTCCTCCTCGCACGCCGTATGGCAAGGCGGCCCGCGCGCTGGTGCGGGCGGTCCTAACCTGGGCTGGCAAGCCGCACTGACTGAAAGCTGCCGCGGTGACAGCGGTACCCCTTCTGGCACGAGGGCGCGGACGCCCTCTTGCACAAGCATCTTGAGCCAAAATGACTAAGAGTGGAGGGAGCGGGGGAGCGGGAAGACCAGGGAGCAGGAAGAACGGCAGGACCCCGTGAACTCCAAGGGCTCTGCCGAGGAAGGGAGGGAGCCACGAAGTGATAGGAAAACGCGGCCAGGAGCGGGGAGAGCGGGAGAAGCAGGAGGAGCAGGCGGAGGAGGAAAAGGAGGAGGAGGAGAAGAAACAATACATCGAAAAAGAAGACAACTCACATAAGAAGAGGCACCACAATGAGACAAATCATACACATAAGAGGAAGAAAGAGGAGAAGGAGGAGAAAGAGGAGGAGAAGGAGGAGGAGCCGCTCACCGCTTCCAGACCTTGAAGAAGATGATCAGCAGCACCACTCCGCGGGCCCCGAGTGGAGCGCGGGCATCCCCAGCGCTCTATCTCCCGCCTCCTGCTGGACCGATCTGCGAATGGGCCCTGGTCCTCTTCCTCCTCCTCCTCCGCCTCCTCCTCCTGCTCATCCTCCTGCTCCTCGTTGGGCCGTCCTGCAAATGGGTGGTGATGTCTGCAATTACTGTGCCAACCTGCAGTGAATCCCTTCCGCTTCGGGTGACTAGAGGAGGAGCAAGACAGGGAGGAGGAGGATCAGCAGGAGTAGGAGGAGGAGGAGGAGGAGGAGGACGGCGAGGAGAAGAAGGAATGGAGCAGGAGGGTTAGGAGAGGGGGGTAGGAGGGGCCAGGTACGAGAAGGGGAGAAGGAACAATGAGGAAGAGGAGGCGAAGGAGGGCGGAAGATGAGAACGGAGGAGGACAGAGGAGGACGGAGGAGAACTGAGGAGGACGGACTAGGCCAGCTGGGGTGGTGTGGCTCGCAGGGCCGCACTTCGCGCCCTAGGCTCCGGGGACCTCATCATCGCAGCCAGTCCCACCAGAGGAGGCTAGGAGGAAGGCTGGGGAGTAGGAGGAGGAAGAGGAGGCGAGGAGAGAGGCCAGGGGAGGCTCTGCTTCGCCACGTGGTGGGATAAGTCCTCCCTTTCAGCTCGCTGGCAAAATCAGCACGGGGCTTCGATGCCGTGACCCTCAGACAATACTCTCAAGCGAAACATGATCGTTCCCTCAAGCTGCCGACAGAGCGCGGGCGCCTCGCGCCACGCCCGAAACGAACGCACACCTCTGCCGCGTGGAGTCGGTTGCCACCCACCCCAGAGTCTGCCCGTCTGCGCTCCTGGTCGAGGGCATGTCTTCTCGGAGTGCCGGGGCGAGTTGCCCAAGCACGGGCATGCCGCCCCGACCTGACGCGACTCGGGACGGCGAGCGAGACCCCCCATGGAAACCACGAGCCCGCGCTCCACGACGGAGGAGGAAAGCTTGTGAAGCGGAGGTGGGAGGGAGGAGGCGAGGGGAGGGGGGGAGGGAGGGACGGACGAGAAGGGAGGAGGGAGGCGGGAAGAAACACCACTGCGGGCAAGTGGCTGGGGCTCGCTGAGACCCGGTGGATGCGGCCGTGGGCTCCTGACTATGCCAACTACTACGTCGCGCAAAGCACCTAGACATTCGGCTGCTACAACTTTTCTTTGATGCCTGGGCCCCCGAGGTCCGGACGACTTCCCAAGGGCCGGTTTCTCGTCCCGAGTTGACGCCCCCGAGGCCCGGCGAGGGCTCCTGGAGGCCGAAAACAGCCAAAAACCGCCCGCTCCAATTTTTCGGGAGCGTCGGATCACTGGGCATAACCCTGCGACGTGCTTGAACCTTCCGAAGCAAGAGGAGACGATAAACAGGACCGCTCCATACACAAGTAAGTACCGAAGGATCTGCAATACCCGGGGGGCCCAGGGAAGGCGGCCCCAAAAGGAGGGCGCCACGGGAACAGCCCCGGCCCCCAAGGGGAGGACGGGGCCCACCCAGGCTGCGATTGAAAACTCCAGGTCGCTGGACCTCCCAAGACCCCGCAGAACGAGTGGCGCACAGATGCTCAAGTGATCTCATTTGGCAACCACCCAGGGAGGGCGAAGTCTACGCACTTCCCACTCCACTGGGCGTCCCAGAAAGCCGACGAGAGCGGCGACATTTGCGGAAAGGCAGCAACCCAACGGGGCGAAGTTTAGTCTGGGTGCGCATGGGCAGCAACCTGGGGAAGGCGAGGTCCAGTCTGGGTCCGCATGCAATTCCGCTCCGCTGGACCTCCCCGGAGCCCGCGAAAGTGACGGAACTTGCGCACTTGGCGGTATAGTGTGGGTGCGAGGTGCAGTCTGGGTGCGCGGGCAACTCCGCCCCCGCCGAACCTCCCAGGGGTCCGCGAAACAGGAGGCGGCATGTGCACAATTGGCAGCCCCCCATTGAAGGGCGAGGGCCACTCTGGGTGCGCGCGCAACTCCAGAGACCGCGACTGTGACAACCCTTGCGCTGTTGGCGGCCACCCAGGGAGGGCGAGGTCCAGTCTGGGTGCGCGCGCAACTCCACCACGCTGGACCTCCCAGGGGCTCGCGAAAGTGGCGACGATTGCGGGCGGCCACCCAGGGAGGACGAGGTCCAGTGAAGGTGCGCGTGCAACCCCACTACGCTGGACCTCCCGGAGCATACGACGAAAATAGCGACACTTGCACAATTGGCAGTCTGGGTGTGCGTGCAACTCCGGTCCGCTGGACCTCGCATGAGCTCGCGAAAGTGGCGACGATTGCGTAGTTGGCGGCCAGCCAGGGAAGGCAAGGTCCAGTATGGGTGCGCGCGCAACTCCGATCCGCTGGACCTCCCAGGAGCCCGCGGAAAGTGCCACACTTGCGCAGTCGGCGGCCACCCAAGGAGGGCGATGTCCAGCGTGGGTGCGCGCGCAACTCTGGTCCGCTGGACCTCCCAGGAGCCCGCGACGAATGGCAACACTTGCACAATTGGCAACTACACAGGTTAGGCGAGGTCCAGTCTGGGTGCGCGTGCAACTCCACTACGCTGGACCTCCACGGAGCCCGCGACGAAAATTGCTACACTTGCACAACTGGCAACCACCCAGGGAGGGCGAGGTCTAGTCTGGGTGCGCGTGCAATTCTGGTCCGCTGGACCTCCCAGGAGCTCGCGATGGTGGCGACGATTACGCAGTTGGCGGCAACCCGGGGAGGGTGAGGTCCAGTGTGGGTGCGCGTGCAACTCGACTCCACAGGTCCTCTCAGGTGCCCACAGAAGTGGCGACAGCTGCACGGCTGGCAGCCACCCAGAGAGGGCGAGGTCCACTCTGGGTGCGCGTGCAACTCCGCTCCGAGGGACCTCCCAGGAGACCGCGAAAGTGGCGATACCTGCGCAGTTGGCGGCCCCCAGTGGAGGATGGGAGATGACTTCGAATCTGGGCGCGCGCATGCAACTTCGATCCTCTGGACCTACAAGGAGCTCGCGAAAGCGGCGACCGCTGCGCAGTTGGCAGCCCCCCAAGGCGAGCGCGAGAGGGTAAGACGCAGGAGGCAGGAATGCAAAGAGACGAGGCGGGAGGAGAAGAAGCATCAGGTCTTGCAAAATGTGCCTTGTTTCAAAACAAGTACCACAACCACAAGAAGGTTCGCGAAAGGTAAACATAGGGGGAGGCGGAAGACGAGAAAGGAGGAAGACGAAGAGGAGGAGATGGAGGTCGGACGGGTCCTGTCCTGGATGCTGGAGTCGGCGAATCGGTCGTCGGTGTGCTCGCGCGCGGGGTGGGAGCTTGGAGTGAACATCGACACGTGTTGTGTCTGCTGTTGGATCGCATTGGATCGCACGCAACGCGGCGTAACTCCTGATCGGCACAGATGCCGTGCCTTGCTACAAGCAACGGGGCAAAGAAAACACGAAAGGAGCGGCAACAGGGGCAGGCAACGGGGCAACGGGGCTGTTGGATCGCTGCGTTGCTTAGTTGGGTCGTGCAGTCAGCTGCGCCTTCATGAATGTGTCCTCAAACGCCGACCATGTGAGTAGATCTTGGGCTGCTTGGATCCAGCTCACATCGTGAGGCCGCCCATTCTCGCGGGTGGTTGCTGATGATGTACAGTCAAACGGCATGAGAAGGCTGCGCGGCAAGGATGCAAGGACCTTGGAAGGCCATGTCGACACCTCTCGAGCGGGGCGCGGCCAGCAAACGTGGCCGAGGATGGGCAGAAGGACAAGGATGCAAGGGCAACCCTGGATAATTGCGTCGTCCAACCACTTGGGTTGGACTCCGCGGTGTCTCTGGCCGCGCTGTCGCGGTCTGGAACCCGGTTGCCATTGTATCGCCTTCCGGGTCCACCTGGCTTCTTCATGGTGAGCGGCCTTCGACGCCATGCGACATGCCATTCGCTTCTGTGGCACTAGCTGGCTGCTGATGTGGTTGTGCTTCATGAGGTGCTCTGCTTTCTGTTAAGATCACTTGATATTATCGCCCCACGGCTCCGATCCGTCATCAATGACGTCGACTCCCTCTTCGTCGTGTTCGCTGACGAGTCGTTGCTGTGCCGGTCTGGCGTCCATGTCTCTCGTGTGGAAGGATGGATGGAGGAGGCAGGAGGGAGGAAGGGAGGGAGGGAGGAGGGAGGGAGGGAGGGAGGGGGGAGCGAGGGACGGAGGAGGGAGGGACGGAGGCAGGGAGGGAGGGAGGAAGGAGGGAGAAGGAGGCACAAGGCGGGAGGCAGGAAGGAGCGAGTGGCGATTAAGGGAGGAGCATATAGAAGGCAGAAGAGGGAGTTTCATCGTCACCAATCATAATCGCCGTCGCCATCGCCGCCATCATCGTCATCGGCGTCGTCAGCGTCACACGCATCCCCGTCCTACCGTTCGCCGAGCCCTTTCTGCAGCGGCCCCCGACGCCATCCCAGCAGTCCCATAGTTCGCGCTGCTCAGCAGGAAGGCGCAAGCCTGTAGGATAGACCTATCACGGCCGGCACGCCGTACTTTGTCAGCATCGTCTGGAGACTGAGCATCTTGGTCATGCCAGCGAACTCCTCCAGCATAGCGAGGAGGAGCAGGAGAGAGAAGCGAACGAACTCTGTGTAGAGCAACGAACCGAGGCGTGTCGCCGTGCTAGGGGAGTCGCGGACGGTGAGCTGGGAACATACAGAGGGCGCCCCTGGCAAAGCTGATGGAAACCCACAGGAAACTCGAATCGGCTTCGCGGGTCCGCAATGCACCCGTCGCCTCGTCGTCGTCGTCGTCGTCGTCGTCGTCGTCGTCGTCGTCGTCGTCGTCGTCGTCGTCGTCGTCGTCGTCGTCGTCGTCTCATACGGGACATCGGTCGGATTCAGCTTCGAAGCAGGCTGCGCAAACTGCGAAGAGCCGTACGTAGAACGATACCGCGCACGCC